ACATTAGTCACATTTAAATCTAGACTCAAAACTCATCTGTTTAGCTGTGCATTTATTGAATGAGCACTGTGCAACGTCCGAACTGATTGCAGTATATTTTATGTATAATCATTTTCTATTCTTAACTGTTTTAAATTCATTTTAAACCTCTTAAGTCCATTTTTTTTATTATTTTCAAAGTTTTTAAATTCCTTGTTTTATTGTTATTATTATTTTCTTTTCTTTTATGTAAAACACTTTGAATTACCATTGTGTATGAAATGTACTATATAAACAAACATGCCTTGCCTTGCCAGAGAGGGCTCCAGTCCCCGAGTGTAGCACAGAAAGGGCTCCAGTTCCCATGTCGAGCCCAAGGAGGGCTCCAGTCCCCGAGTTTAGCCAGAGAGGGCTCCAGTCCCCGAGATTAGCCAGAGAGGGCTCCAGTCCCCGAGCTTAGCCAGAGAGGGCTCCAGTCCCCGAGTTTAGCCAGAGAGGGTTCCAGTCCCCGAGTTTAGCCAGAGAGGGCTCCAGTCCCCGAGTTTAGCCAGAGAAGGTTCCAGTCCCCGAGTGTAGCGCAGAAAGGGCTCCAGTTCCCATGTCGAGCCCAAGGAGGGCTCCAGTCCCCAAGTCAAGCCCAGGGGTCAAGGCCATGGAAGCCGTCCTGCCATGGCCTCCTGAGTTCCCTACTCCGCCATGGCCTTCTGAACTGTCTGCTCCGCCATGGCCTCCTGAACCGTCTGATCCGCCATGGCCTTCTGAGCTGCCTGTTCCCCCATGGCCTTCTGAACTGTATGCTCCGCCATGGTCTCCTAGTCTGCCTGCTCCGGCATGGCTTCTTAATCTGCCTGATCCACCATGGCTCCCCGAGCTGCCTGCTCCGCCATGGCTCCCCTGAGCTCCCTGTGACGCCATGGCACCATGGACTGCCTGATCTGCCCTGGAGGTATTCCCCGTGTCCCAGTCCTGCACCAGCCTCCAGTGCGCACACCCTGTAATGTCAGACTCTGTTCTGTGTCTGTTTTCTTCCCCCACGTGCTCCAGATTATGTTTATTTCCTTATTTGGTCTTCCTGTTCCTGTCCTGATTGTGTTATCATTTGTTCCAGGTGTTCCCAGTTCTGTTCCATTGTTCCCAGGTGTGTTCCATTAGTTTCAGTGTATTTAAAGTGTTTTCTGCCCCTCGTAAATCCCCGTGTCCTACGTGTGATTCCTGTGGTGTCAATGTCAATAAAGACTGTGTATCCTGATTCTCCAGCATTCTCCTTGTTCCTTGTTCCTCGCTCCTCACCGTAGGTGCACCGTGACACATGCATTATTGATGAAACAAATAAATGTTTAGTTTTACAGTTTAACGATCCTTTTATTGTGTTTCCTGTCTTCTAAAAAATACAGTGATGAAACCCTAATTATGTGTTAAACATGTTTCCAGCGTGTTTGATTTTGTTACACTTTCTGATAGGGATGTAACGATTCAACGCGAGCTGGTTGAAAATCGATACAAATATGTTACGAATCAAATTGGTTGAGATGTTAATCGAATCGCTATACATTTTGGGGTGGGAGTTTATATGAATGTATCTCTGAGGGGAACTGGCTGTCTTTAGAAAAGTTTAGCAGATATTTTCTTTACATCTCGTCTCTGTATAATCCATACTACAGTAGTATTCATAAGCGCTGCACTGCTTTGTTTACAGAGGTAACTAAGGAAACGCTATATCTGCTGTTCCATGAGCGCCTCCTGCTTCATGCAGATATTTTATGTAGTATAGTTTCACAAAACTAAAGTCAGAGCATTCTGTTTAGCGTTCTAATCTTTCAAATTGTACAATCTAATTTAGATTTTACAAACTGCTCATGCTGCATGTATTCAGCATCTTTGTTTGGATTTTGATTCAAATGCAGTGGTCTTGGTGCAGTTAAACTGGTGTTGACTTGTTTTTGTTTCATTTCACCCTAGACCTGATGTCACTGAAAGAGGAGAGTCAAGGACTGAATGAAATGGAAGAGAAAGATCAGAATGAGAAACGCCATGATTTAATGACTGGGGAAAAATTTTTTACTTACTCGCCAACTCAAAAAACAGAAACCAGAAGCCTTGAATTCCAGATGAGTGTTCACACTGGAGAGAAGCCTTATGTCTGCCAACAGTTTGGAAAGAGTTTCATTCAAAAAGACAGCCTTAAAGCCCACATGAAAATTCACAGTGGAAAGAAGCCTTACACCTGCAAACAGTGTGGGAAGAGTTTCTCACTAAAAGGAAACCTTAACAGTCACATGAGAATCCATGCTGGAGAGAAGTCGTTCATCTGTTCTCAGTGTGGAAAGAGTTTTAAACAGAAAAAGTACCTTAATGCCCACTTGACAATTCACACTGGAGAGAAGCCTCACACCTGCAAACTGTGCGGGAAGAGCTTCACGCGAAAAGAAAATCTTACAATTCACATGAGAATTCACACTGGAGAGAAGCCTTACATTTGTCAACAGTGTGGGAAGAGCTTTACACAAAAAGAAAATCTTAAAATTCACATTGCACTAATCACAAGCTCACCTGAAACCAATCACACACAGCTGCTACCAATAACACACACTATATAAATCACACCACCATTCAACACCGAGTATTGTTTAGCGTGTATCCCTGCTATAGCTGATAGCTACCTTACGGAGCCTGCTTTAAGTTTCCTAGTCTTAGCTTAGTCTTGCCTTGTCTGTGTTTTCTCGTGTTCTGATCATTGCCTGTGTACTTTGGATTACCTCTCTCGTCTTGCCCTGTTCGGATATTGTTTGCCCCTGCCTGGACCTTTGCTTTGTACCTGGATTATCCCTCTAGTCTCGCCCTGTTGGATTATGTTCGCCGTCGACTGACACTTGCTTGTTTACCTGATTGCTCTTGCCTTGTCTTCTTTCTGAATCAACAAACAGTGACTTATACTTAATGAACTGCAAATTCCATATCAACAGTGTTGTGCAAGTTACTTCCAAACTGTAATACATTATAGATTACTTGTTACTGTTATTTAAAAGTAATTCCTTACCATACAATATTACTGTCTCAGAATTGTAATGCGTTACATGACTCCTGTATTACTTTTGAGTTACTTTCACCAAAATAACTACAGAAGTAGAACTTAAAGGCACAATGTGTAATTTTCGCCGCTGGAGGGCGCATATTCAAAAGAAACAAAGGCGTAGTTAGATGACGCCGTGAGTGAGTGTGGAATCATGGGCGCTTCCGTGTCACTAGTTAAAATTGCTTATTTCTCTGGATTTAAACATTCTTCGAAACATTTCGGAATTATTTAGTTTTAAAGTAGTAATTTAAAGCTTTCTATAGCTATATTTAGCAAGTCTGTGAGGCAAGTATTCGCTGAGTTTTGGTTCATCGTTGTGAAGCGCTCCTGGCCGAAATTGCAGAAAGCGCATCCTGTATGTATCCTTTATTTAATAAAAGCACAACGTTTTGTTGATATTGTGAGTGCACACAAATAAAAGTAGACCCTTTACAGTTCCGAGTGATATATTACTCTTACCTTTATGAGCAAAAATGATGGCGCCGGCGCCTCCATGTCCTGTAAAGCATGCTTTAGCTCTCCGCACAATTAGATATGCGTCGAATAGCACATTTATATAGGTTAAACATTTAAACTAACATTGTGATATGCTTGAACTGTTTTATATCTATAGATTTTATTCTAGGCAAGTCGTGATGATTTGAGAAGGTTAAATTTATCAAACATAGGCTATGATCAACTCCCTGTCTGCGCTGGCTGCTTGGTCGTTACTTTAAAAAACATAAACTTACATTTATCGAACAAAAAAATGCTCCAAACATTTTTATAAGTTAACATAATAAAAAAACTAAATGAAATATAATCACTTTGACATTACATACAAAATTGAACTATTTTAAAGGTCACATATTGTACACCTTTCTGGAGTTTTATTTTAGGTTTTGATGTCCTTAAGAATATATATTTGCGGTATAAGTACCAAAAACCATCTCAATATATTTTCACAGCTCCTCTCTCAGGAGCTCTGCTGAGAACAGGTCGATTTTGGCCTGTCTAATTAATATTCATGAGTCTCTCTTCTGAATTGGCCTGCCAACCACAGGTAACCAGGGTCAGCCGACGTCACGGCGCTAGCTGGAGGCAGCAAAACAAAGGAGAAACTGGAGGCGGCCCATTCAAACCAGCGCAGATTCGGCTACATAAGGAGCTTAAAATATCATCTTGTTGTGATGTTGGGTGCCAGAATCGATGTAATACAGCCTCAAATTAGAAATTTAATCGCATATCTGCTGCCACTGCCAGACACAAAACCGACGACAGCTGTGGTTAAACGCGATAAAACGAGCAGACTGGACAGAAACTATCGTCAAAAATGCTTGCGTTTGTAGCGCACACTTCTTATCAGAAAAGGTTCAATAAAGTATTGTTTTATGTTGTTATGGGTGCGTGAGTGGGTTTTCTTTTGAGGTTGATTGTTGATCCTCACAGCTGAAAAACACACACAACACCATTCTTATTCTGTTACGTGACTTTCCTTCTCCTAGACTTGATATGGGAACGTAACAGAATTTGGGGGCTCGTCCGGGATTTGAAGCCGGAACCTCTCGCATTCGAAGCAAGAATCATTCCCCTAGATCAGTGTTTCCCAACCGGGGTGCCGCGGCACCCTGGGGTGCCGTCTGTCGAGAGCAGGGGTGCCATGTAAAAAATCCTTTTTTAATATTTTTAAATTGCTAAAATGTTCAATAGAGCATCTATTATATAATATCCATTTCTAATGTCACCAATAACGCCACAAGTTTGTTAAAATTTCCAAAGGGTGCCGCGACTAAAAAAAGGTTGGGAAACACTGCCCTAGATCATATACTGGGTAATTGAGTCAACCCACAACTCAATCCAGCTTGTTCTACTATGCAGTACCTCCACAGTCAAAAAGTGTGGTTATGCAAAAGATCTGCGACCTCTTCATTGGAGTCATTGGAGCAACTGTTATAAACTAGGAAAAACTGTGAGGGGTACAGCATTATTTGCTGCTCCTGCAGGATTCCCGGAGAGTTTCTCTGGTGAAAAGTTCTGCAGATTCTGTTCTGGTCTCTTTTAATTCAGAGACAAAGACTCCCATGAGGCAGGGAAGAAAAGCACTCTTGCTCCGCACAGTGGTGTACAATGTTTTGTTAACTTTGTGGCTTATTATTCTGAGTTGTTTCGGCAGTGGTGACACACAGCCCTCTCACATGCCTAATATATTGTTTAACAGATCGACTGCTTATGCCGCTCAGAAATATTTTACATATCTTTATCAGAAGGTTTGTGCATGTCATCCTGCAGGGATGACCATTAATTTCGGTCTGGGGCCATCAGTGTGGGTTGACCCGGGGAAGGTCCGTGATGCCAGATTGTTCAGGAATTCATCCTTGTCTGAGAGGGGTTAGAATGATGCACTCTTCCCTAATATCACAGAGCGTTTTGCAGGAGTAGATGTGCCAGTGGTGATTTTGGAGGCTGCAGAATGTCTACTACTGCCATGCTTGATGAAACCACTCCCTGAAAACCAACAGACAACCACTTTTTTATTGTTAGCATGAACTATAATTATTTATATGATGCTGCCAATAAATTCATATTGTTCAATGTATTGCATTTTTTTGTTTTTTTTTTGGTTAACACAAACCATTTTTCATGTGATGGTGACAAGAAACTAATATGGATCTTTTTCACATTTCCGGGTTTCTTGTCATGGTTGGGTAAACTTGTAAAGCAGTGAATGGGAGACTACCACAAATATATTTTTTTCATTCCCATTTGCTCAAATAGCAAAAGAAAATCTCAATGATAGTGTTTTCACAATTTAAAAAAAATGGAAAAAAAAATAGAGAAACTGATAACAGCAGTCAGTAGAGAGAGAACGATGTCAAATTTACCATCACTCCCACAGACGCTGTATTAGAAACTCCTTCACAGCAGTGTTAACTAGTTTTTTTGTAATTTCATGCATAATACAAAGTATAGTGTTATAAATGTACATACATTTATTTTTTTAATTGAAAATATGATCAATTTTGGAAGGTTTACGATGCTGATGATCATTGTAATAAATTTTTTGGTTCATTTGAACTATTTTTTATGTGATGTCGGCAGTAAATTCATATTGTTCTTTCCAAGAACAGTGTGGGCCACATTTGTTTATAACAGACAAAACATCAGCTAATGCCCAAAATATGCTTTATTTAATGCAAAATCGTAAATCACTTCCAATGGTAAAAACTTAGCACTTCACAGAACACAACCACTAAAGAAGAAACGTAAAAAAAAACGCATGTGTTCACACACAAAGTGAAATACACAGGTCACATAAGTGTAACTGTGTCAACAAGTCCAGTCGCAAGTCATTTTATTCGTGACTTAAGCACGACTCAAGTCACCAGTCGTAGACTCGAGTTTCCATCTCTGCCTGGTACTACGCATTTATTAGGCCCCACAACTATTTGCACTGAATTGTAAAAATAAATAAATGAAATAATAATTATGTAATATTGACCGTATGCAAACAAAGAACTAGGCCTTTAAAGGTTGTGATAGAGTTATGTAGGTTCATCAGGCTGATCAAGGTAGGTAGGTGGTGTCTCCACACAGGCCAGGAGTGACCAAGTCATGTAGTGCTGGGGTCAAAGATGGGGTCATTTGACCAACATGGTTTGCTATGTTTTATGTTTCCAGTTCAGTTCAGTTTTAAACCTCTTCAAGAAGAAAAAAGCCTCACAGCCAGATTTTATCTTTTTTTTATGGTTTTGAAAACATTTTTAAATATCTGTATTACTGGTTAATGTTATGACAAACTAAAAAGATTGGTCTACAAAATAAATCAAATGGGCTCAAATTAACTTTTTTTCCTGCAGTGGAAGAGCTGTGCGAATGAAAAGAAACCAATATATTTTTGAGTTTGAAGGAGAATACTAGCATAACTAGATCTTTAGATTATTGGTTGCAAAACTGTGCAGTGAATGTGGCTTGGCAGCTTGGGAGAACTTAACCATTTTCAGTCAGTTTTGTTAAAAAATATTTGGAAAACGTCAAATTAAGTTGTATTTTAAAGTCCAATTCTAGCTATTAACATACTATTAACTACGAGATTTTGCCTCCATAAACTCCTAATTACTGCTTCGTACAGTAGTTGTTAAGGTTAGGTATTGGGTAGGATTTGGGATGTAGAATATGGTCATGCAGAATTGGCTGCTTATTAATACTTATAAAGCATGTTAATAACAGGCATGCTAATAACAACCCGGTCTCATGAAAATGCGTATAAATAGTACGCCAAATAAAAACGAAAACTCGTGGTATTGATACGCAAAAATGGACTTTGGTGTGCATATGCTATGCGATGGGTAGGTTTAGGGTTGTGGGGTAGATGCATATCATATGACCGTGAAAACTGCGTATCATATGCACGCCAACAAATTTCGTATAATATGAACGCCAAAGTCCATTTTTGCGTATCAACACCACGAGTTTTTATTTTGATCAGTAGGTCCATAGTTCTATGAGTTCTACGCACTTGATTTAAGATGATTAGAGTTATTAGCTCTCTACTTGATTCTCAGTATATGTTCACCCACTGTAGAAACAAAGAATGATAGATTATAAAATACATTTTAAGATAAAAATACAAGATCGCCACGTGGCGAAAGTATGAAAATGTTATTATTGCATACTGCTGTATAATGCGCTACACTGTTTGTGCTTACCGTAAATAGATATTAGAGAACCTGCAGCTGGAACCAGCTTCCAGATGAGCCCCAACCGTAGCCGTGTTTACATACATTTACCAGTCTATTCTCTCACGAAAGATGAGTCAAATAATTCAGTACAGTATTCGTGTAACACCCCTGTGGACTGTTTGTTGTGGTTTCTTCCCCTTGTGTTGGTTTAGCCGTCTAATCATTAGTTAATTACCCTCATTGAGTTCACCTGTCTGCCCCTCGTTATCTGCCCTATAAGTTCCTGTCTCTTGTATTCTAGTGTTGTCGGTTATTGTGAATGTTACCCTGAGTGTGTGTGTCTCCTCTACCCGAATCTGCCTTGTTGTCGCTACATTAAATATCCTTATTTGGATCCTTGTCGTCCTCGTCATCCTGCCTGCCTCCACACACCTGGACCGTGACAATTCGCTATTTTATTCAGTTATATTGTGGCATTTAGCAGCAATATTTTGATTCTTATCAATAAATGAAAGTGAGCATCACCTCCATACAATCAAAAGAGACGGTCAGGTGTGAACACCGGAGTTCTTGCAAATCAGATTCTGCAGTGTGAAAGTTGCCTTAATTTCACACAGATACTCATTTTCTGGTGTGAACTCTTTTGCAAGTTTAAAGGTTTACTTTAACTGTTACACTGCTTAACTGTGTTACACTAGCCAGGTTTCCATCCAAGGATTTGTATTTTTTTTTTGCGAAAAAATGTTTAGCACTTCAAAATGTTTACCGATATAGCTTATGGAAATCTCATTTATCGATAAAATGTCTCAAGTGTCGACACAATATTTTTCCGTTTAACTTTAGCGTATAAATTCCATATGGATACTTCAAATGTAACAAAAATTTGTTTGGAAACACTTTTTGTCAAGAAAAGGGTCTTTAACGCAAACAAATGTGGTGTCACATGACAGAATTAGCCTATGTAGCAGTATAAGCCTCTGTAGTTCAAAGGCACATTAAATCTATCATATTCATATTATTAAATTGTATATAAAATTATTGTATTACTATGGTAAGAATAAGACGAGTTACCTCTCAAACATAGCCTGTTTTTTGTTTTGTTTTTCTTGATAAACATACATATCTTACTTGGATGTTCCTTTAAGTAACGTTGCAAGTTCAAATTGATTCATTTTGTTCTGAAGATGAAAAGGTCAAATTGCATTCTGTAATGTTATGTTATGTTTTGTCAACTTAAAATGTGAAGTAAGTGACAGCTTGAATAGCCCTCAAGTTAAATCCGGGAAAGTTATTCTAACGCAAATATTTGTGCTTCTCTTGTGTTCCAGTATCCACATAGGCTAAAACAACATGGGCTTGCCATAATTATCACACTGGACAGCACAGATTGTGCTACAGGCTATTCAAACTGAGCAGTGTGTTTATAGTCCCTTTTTATTTCTTTAATATTATGTTTTTCTCTGTTTGCAGAAGCGCTGCAGGTGCGTGATGTGACCGTGTGAATCCTCATGTTCTGTTGTTTATGCTGCTTTTTGCGCATGTAAAATTAATCCCTGGAAAACAAATATTTGTATTTTTAATAGGTCACAGCCACATATCCATTCTAATTTAACATAATCTTGTCGGTAAACGGTAAATAATCGTTAATCGAGCCGATTATGGTAACCGAGCGTCGGTTAGGAGAAAACTAAAATGAAAATTCATATTTTCACTACAGTCTAATAATAGTTAATCAGAAAAATTATAATAATACAGCTGCACGTTTATGAATATTGCTTGATCAAGTAGGCCTAACAAAACAGCACAAAAACTGAATGGAAACTATTATTGACATAAAACCCTCCCTATGTGTTAATCATTTTCCACACATATGAATGGCTTCTCTTCTGTGCAAATTCTCATGTGAATCTTAAGATTTCCTATTTGTGAGAAGCTCATCCCACACAGTTTGCAGGTGTACGGCTTCTCTCCAGTGTGAAGTCTCATGTGAGTGTTGTGGCTACTTTTATGACTGAAACTCTTTCCACACTGATGACATATAAAGCATTTCTCTTCTGAGTGATTCCTCATGCGGTTATTAAGGCTTATTTTACGTGTGAACCTCTTTCCACACTCATCACATTTGAACGGCTTCTCTCCAGCGTGGATGTTCAAGTGATACCTAAGGTTTACTTCTGTTGTGAAGCTCTTTCCACACTGATCACACGAGAACAGCTTCTCTCCAGTGTGACTGCGCATGTGGTAATTAAAGGTGTTTCTATGTGTGAAACTCTTTCCGCACTGAGTGCAAGTATAAGGTTTCTCTCCAGTGTGAATTCTCTTGTGGACTTCAAGGCTATGTTTGTGTATGAACTTTTTTCCACACTGTTGGCAGGTGAAAGATCTCTCTCCAATGGGAATATTTGTGTGGTAATTAAGGGTGTTTTTCTGTGTAAAACTCTTTCCACACTGTTGACAGATGTAAGGCTTCTCTCCCGTGTGAATTCTCATGTGGAATTTAAGGCTTAGCTTTTGAGTGAAACTTTTTCCACATTCTTGGCAGGTGAAAGAGTTTTCTCCAGTGTGAACTCTCATGTGATACTTAAGGGTTAGTTCTACAGTGAAGCTCTTTCCACACTCTTGGCAGGTGAACGGCTTCTCTCCAGTGTGAATGCTTATGTGTTTTTTAAGGTTTCCTTTTTGAGAGAAACTCTTTCCACAATCTTTGCAGGTGAAAGGCCTCTCTCCAGTGTGAACTCTCATGTGGACATCAAGGTTTTGTTTCTGATTGAAACTCTTTCCACACTGACGGCAGGTGAAATAACTCTTGGATTTGGTCTTATGGCCTCTTTTTTGTGAGAAAGTATTGTCAGTCTTTGTGGATTTTTCTCCAGTCATGAAATCATGATGTTTCTCATACTGTTTTTTCTCTTCCATTTCATTCTGTTCTTGACTCTCCTCTTTCAGCACCATCAGGTCTAAAGCGAAAAAATAAAGATAAATAGTTAAACACAGTTTAATGGCACAAAGCAACAGATATCCAAACCAACATCACCTGAAATGAAGATGGACAGTTTTTGTTTTATCCAGCTATATTTACTCATATAGCATCCAAGTGAAAGATATGTCAGGAAAAAAAAGATTAATTTAAGCTCCATCGTAGCACAGAAACTTTTCTTACTAAAGTTAAATATTTTATATGCTACCACTTGTATATGAAGGATATCTCATCAAACACAAGTATGGTGTGCCACAGGGCTCAGTATTAGGTCCTCTGTTTTTCTCCTTGTTTACGTTTCCCCTGAGGGACATAATCATTCAATTTCACAATTATGACCACAATACCCAGATTTATACACTACTCAAAAAATTGAGGGAACACCTAATCATCACAGTAAAACATTGAGTCAGTTAAATGTCAAGGATATCAATCTGTCCAGTTGGGAAGCATGGTAGGTGACAACAGGTGCACTGGAGAAGCAACAGCAAATCAACCCCCATGGCACATCCACACGTGCCGTCACAAGGAGGTTTGGTGTGTGTCGAGAGCATGCAAGAGATACCGGGAGACAGGCCATTACACTAGGAGAGCTGGACAGGGACGTAGAAGGGCAACAACCCAGCAGCAGGATGAATATTGGCTTGTGCAAACAGGAGGAGCACTACCGGAGCCCTCCAAAATGACCTCCAGAACGCTACTGCTGTGAATGTGAGGGTGGCATGAGGGCCCAACGTCCTCTGGTGAGACCTGTGCTCACAGCCCAGCACCGTGCAGCTCTATTGGCATGTGCCAGAGAACAGCAGAATTTGCATGTCTGCCATTTGCATGACCGGTTTGGCAGAGGATCTGTGATGGCCCGGGGATGAATGCTAGCTACACCTTACTGCTGTTAGTTACCGGAATTAAATCCTCAGAGCCGCTGTCAGAACTCACACTGGTGCAGTGGGCCGTGGGTTCCTCCTGGTGTATAACAATGCCCCGCCTCATGTGTTTTTCGATGAAGGCATTGATGCCACTGACTGGCCCTCATGTTTGGCCCTCCAAACACACTACTGACATTATGATTTGCTGTAGTTCGATCAATTTCATGTTTTTACTTAGATTTTAGGTATGATTTTGAATCCAGTCCTCAGTGGGTTGATGATTTTAGCTTCAATTGACCATTGTGGCATCATTTTGTTCTCAACGAATGACAATGTACACAAGTAATAATTTTAAACGTAAATATTTCATTCATAGAGATCCAATGTGTGATTTAGGTGTTCCCTTAATTTTTTGAGTAGTTTACTTCCTCACAATCTGACAAAACTTCACAACTCTCCAAGGTAACAGTATGTATTGTTATATAAAAGATGGCATGGTTAATAATTTTCTCCTATGAAATTCTGCCAAAACAGAGATATGAATTATTGGACCACAGACCTCCATACATAAGACTCTAGATCTCAGTGGATGCAATGTTATGTTGTTTTCTACAGTGAAGATCACAGGTGTTGCGTTTACAGCAATCTGTCTTATACGATAATCACATTGGCATTTTTTTTTGTCTTCTTCTGTTTGAAGTCTTCAAATGTCAGGTTGAAGTCAATAAGCTTGCAAGGATTTAAATGCTTATGATAACTAAGAAACAGGCTCACATCAGCCCAATTTGATCATTAGTACACTGATTGCTTGTTAGATTTCGTATCAATTCTGCTAATTACACACAGCTTTGAATGGCTTATAGCCATGAACCAAGTTTGTTTAATACTGTTTGAGTATGAATGCATTTTTTTTTTTCATTGATACAGCAAAAACTGTTAATCTACTTTTTGTGTTCCACATTTTTGTAATGTTTTATTGTCATGTTCAATAGTATTTTAAATGGGACAAGGTAAATCAGGAGTTAGATATGTAATAAAACTGCATTTCTAAATCAGTAAAACTGCATATATTGTCTTGAATAAAGTCTTATGATGCAAATTGTTATTTGTGGCCCTTTATATTTAATGTGGCTTAACTTGAGTACCCCTGAGCTATACTGCAAGACACACACTGATCACTGCCAGGATCATGGACTGCGAAGAGAATAAACTTTTTATGGCCACAGCATTTGCCAAATTCAAATGAAACGACAGACACTGCATCCCTGTGGACAAATGCATTGCGACATGACATCTAAAAAGGTTTTTGATAAACCTGTTCAATACACACTAAAGACATAGTAGAACTTACAGGTAAATATAACTTTCTGTAAAGCTGCTCTGGAACAATGTGGATTATGCAAAATGCTATACAGATAAATATGACTCGGCATCAAACAACTATGTTATTTGATGTGCCAAAAGATAAATCTGTCATTAAGCAAGCCTAGATAACTGGTATAACTGCATTACGATCATTTAGATCAGCCGTGCCCAAGCCTGTTCCTGTAAAAGTAATCTGCCAGTAGATAAAAGTACTTACTATTACTGTACACTAGAGTTGTGTGGGGTGTTTAAATCGAGGCCGCTAAAGGGCTCAGTGAACTTCCATGAGGGCCGCAATGAGGGCTGCATGATATATCAAAATAAAATCTATATTGCAATGTGGCTTAGTGTGACTGTCACATCACACAGGCTGTGATTTAAGCACAGTGCCAACCACTAATATTGGCACCCTTGGTAAATATGAGCAAAGGTGGCTGTGAAAATAAATCTGCATCATTTATCTTTTCGATCTTTCATTTAAAAAATTCACAAAATTTTAACCTATCATTGAAGTAAAACAATGGAAATTTTCGGGGGGGAAACTCACATTATGAAATAAATGTTTTTCTCCAATGCATGTTGGCCATAATTATTGGCACCCCTAGAAATTCTTATGAGCAAAATATCCCTGAAGTATAAACGGCTCGTTCTAACACGCCTCCACATATCTACGTCACTATGTGGGAAGATTTGCATAACACCGCCCAAATGTTCATGCAAAGAAAGAAGGCATAACTTTTATTCTTGCTGTAGTATTGTTGTTGCCACCGCCGCCATGTCGTGAAGACGCTGTGTGTTTCATTGTGAAAGCAAAACTACTTTGTTTGGCCTTCCAAAAGAGGACAATATCCGCTTCGTCATACCTGGAGCTGATCCGTGCTGGTCACTGAGGAAATACATCAACTTCGCGCTGTGGATCGAAGCGGAGTCCAGCCCGGGGTCGTCACATGTGGTTGCCGCAAGCCCACTGGCTGCTCCTTCGTCAAATCCGCCGACCACGCCGTTCTCAAGCCAGCCTCCGATCACTCTAGCCCGCCGTGTGTGATGCTGTGTGTTTCGAAACTACTTTGTTTGGGCTTCCAAAAGAGGACACAACTAGAAATCAGTGGTTAAGTTGTATTTACAACACTGTTCCAGAACACTTCAACCCAAATATTCAGATGTGTGCAGCACATTTTATGGAGGACCGTTTCCTGATCCTGGGAGAGTAGACTGCAATGCCGGCTGTTCTGACTCAA